GCACCACCTGCCTGTGCCTCGGAACCCTCGTCCTGTGGCCTGCGGCAGCCTCGCACAATATGGTGTGGCCCAGGCTGGCCCGGACTGGCCCGGACAGCTTCCACACGGGGTGCCGGTAGATGTCCCATCGGTGGGACCCTGGAATTGGCAGAAAACATTCAAGCCCAGTGCCAGGAGAGCCTTCAGCTGGGCCCAGAAAGCACGTGGACCTTGCAAAGTCCCGTGCAAGGATTGAGACTCCTGCCTGCCTCGGCCTGGGGCCCTCAGGTCAGCACTGGCCACACAGCCAAGCATGGATTCTGGAGAAATTTGAGCTGCTTTCTGGACCTGTTGCCGGTGTCCACTTTCGTGTCCACCACCCAGGGTCCTCCCCTGCTGACGGAGTGACTCCCTCTGGACTGGCACATTCAAACCCAGCCCCTACCACTTGGCTGTACACACAACAGCCCCCCCCCCAGGTGAATTTGCTGTGGCTCAGCAGCCCCAGCTGTGAAACGGGATGGAGTGAGTCTGTAGTTTGAGCTGGACTCGCTCAGTGTTAGCTGCTGTTAGAGAGAGGTCTTCCATCCACTGGTCACTCCCCAGATGGCTGCAGCAGCCAGGGCTGAGCTGATCCGGAGCCAGGAGCCAGGAGCTTACTCCAGGTCTCCCACACGGATGCAGGGGCCCGTGGACTTGGGCCATCTGCTACTGCTTTCCCAGGCCACAGCAGAGAGCTGGATCGGAAGAGGAGCAGCCAGGACTAGAACCGGCACCCATGTGGGATGCCAGCAGTGCAAGCGGTGGCTTCACCTGCTATGCCACAGCACTGGCCCCACTATTTTTCTGAAATTTGCTCTTGTTAGAGCTTAGAGTTTGTGTCAGTGCACCAAATTCCACACCCACAGTTGAGCTATAGCTACTTAGCTGTGGGACGCGGAGCTGGCTTCCTTTGTGCACACAAAACCAAATGCTAAGGTTCGAGAATATCACTGCATTGTCAGTGTTTATATTTTAAAAAGCTTATTTATGGGGCCAGTGCTGTGGCCTGAGAAAGCAGTAGAAGATGGCCCAGATCCTTGGGTCCCTGCACCCACGTGGGAGATCTGGAGGAAGCTCCTGGCTCCTGGCTTTGGATCAGCTCAGCTCTAGCCGTTGCGGCCATCTGGGGAGTGAACCAGCAGATAGAAGACACCTTTCTCTCTCTGCCTCTGCTTCTCTGTAACTGCCTTTCAAGTAAATAAAATCTCTTTTTAAAAAAATTAAAAGTTTATTTGAAAGGCGGAGCAGCAGAGATCTCCCCACTGATGACACCAACAGCGGGGCTGGGCCAGGCTGAAGCCTGCAGCCCAGAACTCCTACCAGGTCTCCCCTGTGGGTGGCAGAAAGCTGCAGCGGGAGTGGAGCAGCCAGCGCCGGGCCCAGCTCTGTGACGTGGGGCCCGGGTGCTCCGCGGGGCTTCTTGGCCCACTCCACCGGGACGCCCGCCCCAGGGCTGTTGGTGGCACTGGCAGTGCCGAGGAGGTTTTCTGTTTGTTTTCCGGGATTTTGTTTGGCGTTTGTTGTCTGGGGAAATACTAAATACACAACAGGTTACAGCTGTGTTGGGAGACCCAGCGTCCCTGTCGCCTTCGGCCTGGTCGAGCCCTGGCTGTTGTGGCGTCTGGGGAGTGAACCATCAGGTAGGAGATCTCGGTCGCCCTGCCCGGTCACTGTGCTTTCCAGATAAAGAAAGAAGGCTTTATTTATTCATTTATTTATTTTAAAGAAAAGTACACGTCATTAGGAAGGGAAGAAAAGGCATAAACTGAAACATTTCCTTCCCCGGAGCCGGCACTGCAGGATGGAACGCTGGGAGGCAAAGCCAGGGCTCCGGTTCCGGGTCTGCGATGGGCTTCCCTGGGGTGGCAGCGTTGCCTGTCGCGGTGTAGCTGGGGCCTCACTAGCACTGAGCACCAGTCTGCAAGGGGGAAGGCGACATCCAGGGCTCGCCGTTGCCCTCTGCTCTCTGCCTTTCTTCGTATCCTGGGTGGTGGGGGCAGGGGGGCAGGGGGCGGGAGTTGGCCTCTGGCTGTCCTAGATAGCAGTGGGTTTGGTCCTGTTGGACAGACAGAGGCCGCAGTAAGTGTGTAACAGAGAAGTGCCCCTGCAGACGCCCTCAGAGAAGGCTCCGGAGCGGACAGTCCCCATGCTGAGGGCGGGCACCACCTGCTGGACTCGGGCCCTCCAGTGTGGCAGGCACGGCTCTTAACCAACAGCTTCTGGGCCAAATGCTGCGCCAGCAGGTGAATTTTCAAAAGACTTAAAAGTTGCAAGAAGAGGGGTCAGCATGGTGGTGCAGTGGGTTAAGCCGCCACCTGCAACACTGGCATGCGCCTGAGGAAGCAGAGGAAGATGGCCCGAGTGCTTGGGGCCCTGCCTCACATGTGGAGGACCCGGATGGAGTTCCTGGGCCCTGGCTCCAGCCTGGCTCTCACCTGGTGATTGTGGCCATTTGGGTGTAAGCCAGCTGCTGGAAGATCTTTCTCTCCCGCCCCCTTTCTCTCTCTCCACGCTGCCTTTCACATAAAGAATGAAAGATGCTGGAAGAAAACGATCGGCTTGAAACTGTAACCAATGGAAATATCCTTGAAGACACAGAGATACTTTGTTTCCAGCAGAGATACACTGTGAGATATGTTCATGGAAAGCTGCTAGGCTTAAGGGAAATGACAATGGAGAAACTTGGCATTGCTGGATGGATTGACGAGCACTGGAAATGGTAAATGGCAATTTTTAAAAAAAGGTATTTTACTTACTTAAGAGACAGGGTCTTCCATCTGCCGGTTCACTCCCCAAATGGCCGTAACAGCCAAAGCTGAGCTGATCTGAAGCCAGGAGCCTCTTCCAGGTCTCCCACACCAGTGCAGGGTCCAAGCACTTGGTACATCTTCCACTGCTTTCCCAGGCCATAGCAGGGAGCTGGATCGCATGTGGAGCAGCCGGGACTTGAACCAGCACCCATATGGGATGTTAGTTCCACAGGCAGATGCTTAATCTACTTACTATACCACAGGGCTGACCCTGAACTTTATTTATTTATTTATTTATTTATTTATTTAGACAGGCAGAGTTAGTGAGAGTGGTTCACCCCCCAAATGGCCGCTAGGGCCGGCACGCTGTGCTGATCCGAAGCCAAGAGCCAGGTGCCATCCTCCACTGCCTTCCCGGGCCACAGCAGAGAGCTGGACTGGAAGAGGAGCAGCCGGGACAGAATCCAGGGTGCCAGCGCCGCAGGCGGAGGATTAGCCAAGTGAGCCATGGCACGGGCTCATTTTTTTTAAAGATTTGTTCCCTCAATTTTTTGGAAATATATATGACCTTTAAAAAGTTACTAGGGGGCTGCTGTCGTATAGCAGGTTAAGCTACTGCCTGTGATGCTGGCATTGCCTTTTGGAGCACCAGTTCAAGCGCCAGCTGCTCTGCTTCTGATCCAGCTCCTTGCTAACGTGCCTAGGAAAGTAGAGGAAGACGGTCCACGCGCTTGAGCCCCCGCACCCACGTGGGAGACCTGGAACAAGCTCCTGGCTTCAGCCTGACCCAGCCCCCACTGCTTGTGCTATATGGGGAGTGAACTAGCAGATGGAAGACTTCTCTCTCTCTGCCTCTGCCTCTCCCTCTAAAGTTTATATATATATATATATGTATATATATATATGTATATATATATATATATGTTACATTTTCGAAAGGCAGAGTGACACAGAGACGTCTATTTGCTGGTTCACTCCGCCAAATATCTGCAATAGCCAGGGCCGAGTCAGTCAGGCTGAAGCTGGAAGTTGGGAGCTCCATCCAGGTCTCCCACGTGGGCAGCAGGGACCCAACTACTTGAGCCATCACCTGCTGCCAGCCAAGTGTGTGAGCAGGAAGCTGGATTTAGGAGCAGAGTTGGGACTTGAACCCTGGTGTTGCAACATGGGGTGTGGCCTTCCCGAGCGTGTTTTGTTTTGTTTTGTTTTGTTTTTGACAGAGTGGACAGTGAGAGACAGACAGAGAGAAAGGTCTTCCTTTGTCGTTGGTTCACGCCCCAATGGCCACTGCAGCCGGCGCACCGCACTAATCCAAAGCCAGGAGCCAGGTGCTTCTCCTGGTCTCCCATGGGGTGCAGGGCCCAAGCACTTGGGCCATCCTCCACTGCACTCCCGGGCCACAGCAGAGCTGGCCTGGAAGAGGAGCAACCCAGACAGAATCCGGCGCCCCAACCAGGACTAGAACCCGGAGTACCGGTGCCACAGGCGGAGGATTAGCCTATTGAGCTGTGGCGCCGGCGGCCCCAAGTGGTTTTTAAAAAGATTTATTTATTTGAAATGCGGAGCAACAGAGAGGGAGAGACAGATCTCCATCTGCTGGTTCACTCCCGAAATGGCCACTACGGCCAGTTCCGGGCCAGGTCAAGCTGGGACCCTGGAACTCCATCCAGTTTCCCATACAGGCAGCAGGGGCCCAAGCACTTGGCCGTCTTCCAGTGAGGTGCATTAGCAGGGCGCTGGAATGCATGGAACGCCAGCAGTGTCTAACTATGCCACCAGGCCGGCCCACCAGGGGTGTCTTAACCACTATACCAAATGCCTCCAGGACATATTTTTGTAATTCCTAGAACATTGCTTAAAAAAAAATCTTAATGGGGGGCCGGTGCTGTGGCACAGCAGCTTAAAACTGGCGTCCCATATGGGCACCAGTTCAAGTCCTGGCTGCTCCACTTCTGATCCAGCTCCCTGCTGATGTGCCTGGGAAAGCAGTGGACAATGGCCCAAGTGCTTAGGCCCCGGCACCCTTGTGCCCGCAGGAGGCTGTCACGACTGACCGGTCGGTCCCCAGCACAGGCCACCATTCATTCAGCCACCATCAAGCACCGGATCAGATAAGGTGAGGACGCAGCCCCCACAGCCCTGAGGGGTGGGGCTGCAAGAGAGATGGCCGCAGCTGCCTGTCCCACGCCTGCACGTCCCAGCCGTGCGGGGAAGGCGAGCAGAACCATCCACTGTTCCAATCTGATTTTATTGAAAAGGAAACATACAAAAATCATGTACAAAAAAAATTAACCAAACATGTACAGAAAATTCATTCCGGTATCTACAGCAGCGCATATACAGTATTTTACAGGCTGGGCCACCCTCCCCACTCCCAGACTCCTCCCTCCTCCGAGAACCCCCCTCCCTGACGCCCCGGCCCCCCCCTCAGCGCTTGGCCCTGGGGACTGAGGCTGGGGCGGCTTCGGCCAGAATCTCCCACCCCCCAAAATGAATGCCAGTGGTCACACGTGCTCTCTCTAAACCTATGCGATGAGATTGATGAGGACGGGGGCAGTCACGGGCAGAGCACAGGATTCACAGTCTGGGCCCCCCCACCCCCCGGCCACCCCCAGATGAAGGTGAGGCAGGCGAGCCCACCACCCACCGGCTGGCTCAGGGACGACGGCTGGGGGCCGCCGCCGCCGCTCCCCTCCTCTGGCTCCCGGAGGCCAGGGGTCGCGTTTGGCTCATTTGCTCTTCACGGGCCCCCTCCCCAGGAGGAGGGGGGGAAGCACCAGGGGCCTGGGGCCAGGCCCAAAGTGAAGGGGCACCGGGCGGAGACCCAGTGTCACCGTGCAGCTGGGACGGGCGGCCAGCAGCAGCAGCCTTTCCTGAGATGGTGGTGGGCGGCGGAGGTGGGCGGCTCAGGCCCCACCCCCTCGGTCCCCGCCGCCTTCAGAGTCCGGGTCTCAGCCAGGGACGCAGGAGTCCACGTCTGGGTCGTCTCTTCGTCAGTGCGCCCAGGCTGGGCCAGGCAGAGCTGGGAGTCCCGTATGCTACATGGTGCAGAAAAAGAGTTCCCCGCGCTGGCCGGGCCGTCAGGAGGCGGGAGGGTCCTGCCCCCCCGAGTCCCCGACGTCCACCGTGCGGGTGCAGGCACCTAGTTGGGCTCCATCTCCGGGGCTCCGGGGCCCCTGGGTAAGGGCAGAAGTCCCATGAGAAGATTGTACAGGACCCTCCAGGGCGAAGGGCGGTGTCGCTGCTGCTCCTCTTGTCTCTAGGGGGCGACAGAGAGCCGGGCGGTTAGTGTGGGCCATGCGGTCCCCGGGGCCGGCGGACAGCATCCTAGAAGTGAGAGCTACCCCTTCTCCCGCCCTCTCCTGGACCCGGAGAGCAGGAGGGAGAGGACGCAGGCAGAGCCTGGCTCGGCCCTTGCTCCCCAGGACCTCCTCCCTCCACGTCTGTCTTCAGACGTTTCTAGAACAACGCATGGAAGGTTCACCGTCTGCACGGAGGGCTGCACTCCCAGGCCACGCTGGGTCACCGCGGCTGCAGGGAGAGCCTGCCCCCCCACCCCGCAACCCCAGCAGAATGAAAACGCAGGAGGGCCCCCCCTAGGACTCCTCAGAGCTAGGAGGCTGGCCCCTGCCCTGCCCCCACTGAAATGAAAGACAATACTGAAAAAGGTGGCAGGTGCAGCTACAGCCCCCTCATGTCCCTGGCAAGGAGTCACGGCCAGGCGGGGGCTAAGCAGGGCCCACCCAACGTCACGCCCCCCACCCACCCACAGATGCAGAGGGAGGGAGAGAAACTCAGTGGCAGGTCAGTCACGGTGAGCTGAGGTCAGCGAAGCAACCCCAAGATCCTCAGGGGCCCCTGGCAGTGGGGCGCCTGGCACCAGACCCCGCTACCAACTCCCGCAGCCAGACCCTCGCACGCGGGCACACGGGGCAGGTGCGTGGTTTGAAAGAGGGCATACACCGATAAACCATATCAGAAATAGATCCTGGGGAGGGGGGCGTTAAGACTGCCTGGGGCGCCTGGGTTCGAGTCCCGCCTCTGCTTCCCAGCCAGGCGCCTGCTACTGTGTTGGCTTCAGGACTTGGGTCCTTGCTACCCGCGAGGGAGACCCCTGGCTCCCGTGTTAGGGGAATCTGGGGCGTGAGCCAGTGCAAGAAAGATCTCTCTGCCTGTCTCTGCTCCTCCACCATGCGAAGGAGCATGAATAAGTCAACAGAAAGAAAACTAGAGCCTGGAGATTCGCCAGTGAGACAGCGCGCAAGGGCGCTCTCCGCAGCAGCGGACGCGAGCGGAGCCAGAGCCGCCGCCAGGCTCGCATTGTTTCTGGCCTGGTAAACATGTAGTGAGAGACTCGCACCTGCAGGGGGACTGGGGCGGACCTGGTGGGAAGCGAGGGCCGGCCGGGGATCAGGGAGCTCCACAACATCGGATCTCTACTGCGTTGTGGTTTTGTTTTTTCGTGGATTTTTTTTTTTTTTTTTTTTTTGGTTTTTAACATAAGCAAACAATGCAGGTGTAAATGCGCGGACTGAACACAGCCCAAGGCGTCTTCCGCTCTCCGTTCGCCGTCCCGGGCTCCCAATATTTGGTTTTGCAGAGGCCATGTTGCGGGTGGGGGTGGGGGTGGGGGCGGGGCTGCGGCGGGGCGGGGCTCCCCGCCCCCCGCCCGCGGGCCCCGGCGCTGCGTGGCGCGCGGCGGGCGGGGCGGGCGCGGCCGGCGCCGCTGCTGACTCACCGGCTATAAATAGCCCGGGATATAGGAGCCGCTCGGGCGAGCGCCGCCCTCAGTCCCCGCGGCCGCGGGCCTCGGGCGCGCCGCGGCTCTCGGCCGGGCCTCGGCCCTCGCGCGGCCGTGCGGCCCCCACCCCCGCCTGTCCCCGGCGCGACCCCGCCGCGCAGGCCGGCAGCTGCCGCACATCTGGCGGGGCGGCCCGCAGCCCCCCTCCCCGGCGGGGAGTCGCCCACCTGCCGCCTCCCTCCCCCGGCACTCACCCGCCGCTCGTACTGCGCGTTCAGGTCGTCCGCCATCCGCCGCAGCTGGGCCCCGATCTCTCGGGCCCACTGCTCCTCCTCGCCCCGGACTCCCGGGGCCGCCGGGGTGGGGCCGCCCTCCAGGGCCCCCGGGGCGCTGGGCACGGGCGACTCCAGGTGCTGCTCGGCCGGGGACAGCGACGGCTGGGGACCTTGGGGGGCAGAGGGGCGTGGTCACCACCCACCCTGCTCCGGGCCCTGGGGAGGCCGCGAGGGGCCCGGGCGCGCCTTTGCCCCCCGCCTCATTTCTAGCGGTTCCTTCCCCCACTCCCCGCTCTCGGAGGCAGATTTTCTGAGCTCCTCCCCGGGCACTGGGGGAGCCAGAGGCGCTGCGAGGCCGCTCTGGGGTCACCTGCCTGGCCAGCCGCCTCCCCGGGGCCCACGGCGGACTGGAAGTCCTTCCGCTCGGGCGGCCTAAGGAACCCCGCGTTCCAAAACGGGCCCCAGTTTGGCGCGCTCCACTTGACAGACAGGGAAACTGAGGCGCACCTTACGCAGTGGCCAAGGTCACACGGGGATACGGCGAGTGACCCCACCCAGAGTCACAAGCCTCAGGTCTCCAGCCCTCGGGTGTCCAACCACAGTGAAGCCACACCCCCGGATGTGGCAGAGGCCTGGCGAGCCAGAGGCCAGACGGGCTGCCAGGGAGCCGGGCCCGGGGGGCTGGGGCGCGGGAGACGCCTTCCGGGGGGCTCCTCGGAGGTAACCTCCGTGCCGGTCGCCCCGGGCCCGGGCCTCGGTTTGCACCCAGGACTCTGGGCCTGGAAATCGGGGTTCCCTCCCGCTCCCAGCCAGGAACTGAGCTAGGGAAGTTTTCTTTTCCCGTACCCCCCGGGGCTCCCGGGCCGGACTGGGGGATGGGCCGGGTATTCCAGGACGCTCCAAACCCTGCCACCGGGAGCCGCAGGGTTAACAGCCCGCCGGGCTGGGGACCTTTAACCCTTCCCTCCCCAAGACTCACCCTCTCCCCAAAGGGACTTTCCCAGCACAATGGCCCCTCCCCCTCTCCTTCCCCGCCCCCCCACTACTCCCCTCCCTTTCAGAGGGGGCCAGTCCTGGCCAAAGAGATGCAAATAAAGGCACAGGGGCCCCTGGACCCCTCCCCGAGGTCCGGAGGTGACCCTCCTCCCACTCTGCACGCCCTCCTTCCAACTGCGAGCCCCGTGGGGGTCGCGGGGGCCCAGGCCGGGGGAGGGGCGCTGGGAAACCGCTGTGGCTGGAGGCCGGGAGGAGCCCGCCGGCCGCAGCTCGGGGACTGCAGTCAGATTCCAGGAGGGACTTCCCGCCTGCCTCCCCTCCACCCCAGCCCCCCGCGCCGTCTTCCTGCTTCTTGCAACACAAAGACCACGCTGGCCACACCCTCCCAGTGGCCCGGCCCGGCTCCCCGCCTCCCCTCCGCTCCCGCTCGAGTCCCTCGGGGGTCTCCGCGGCCCTCTTTCCCGGGCTCCCAGCAACCCCGGGGGTGGGGCTGGCACTCACCGTCGGGCCTCGGGGCTCGGGGCCGGCTGCGGGGACCCCCAGGCCAGCGGGGGCCCCCCAGGGCGGCGGTGACGGCGGGCGGGGCGGCGGGGGCGCAGAGGTAGGCGGCGGGCAGCAGGGCGGGGGCGGCGGGAGCGGCGGGCAGCCCTGGCTCGCAGAGGCCGCAGGACACGGCCGAGGGCACCAGGCGACCAAGCGGGAAGGGGCGAGGGCCGTCGCGGGCCAGGCCCTCTACGGGCTCCGGAGAGCTGCCCTCCTGGCGTGCGCGGGCCATGGCGCTCCCTGGGGCCTGCGGGACACGGGAGGAGGAGCAGGTCAGCGGGGAAGTGCACCATGGCCCCACAACCCCCCAGTGGATGGAGGGAAACGGAGGCGTGTGCCATCGGAAGGGGGTGACGGCCCCCCGCAAGACACACCCAACTCGGGTCGACACAGGGGGCAGGCTGGCCGCTCACTGATGGGCATAGCGAGGCCAGGGCTCCCTGGGGACCCAGAGGGACGGCCTGTCCCACGTGTGGGTCTGTGAGTGAGGGCTGTGACCACCCCCCAGCACAGACTGCGCCAACTGGGCAGCGTGCCCAGTAAGGACAGGTGCAGGTAACTTTCCCAACACAGGCATGGGCGCACACAGGACCCAAATGAAGCTGGCTGCGAGGCGAATATGGGGACACACCAGGGCTCACCCAAACCAGCCAGCCTGCTCCCACTGGCACATAGACTCTGCGATGGTCCCAGCCTCCAACACTGGCCGGCAGTGTCCTGCACACACACACACACACACACACACACACACCATCACAAGCACCCTGCACACATGACCCAGTGGCTGCCACCACCCAACCCGGTGCCCCCCTCCACACACACAAACACACTGTCAAGATGGCACACACAGACCCACTGTGGAGACGCCCTGGGGACACACAATGTAGCCATCAAAGCACAGGCACACTCCCCAGAGATAAGCCGCCCGCATGCCCGGACCCACACACATATCAACACAGAACAGACGCCACTTCACCAGCACAGCACGGGCACCAACTTCCAGACTCCGGGACACGTGGAGAGGGGGCCCCCAGAGGCACCCCGCACCCCCCACCCCATGCAGCGGGCGGCAGCACCATAGCAGTCAGCAGCCCACCTGCCTCTCCCAACCCCAGCCCACCGCCACCTGTCAGCACCCACACACGCGCGCGCCCCACAGCTAACTAATCCCGCACAGCAACAGCAGCGCACACACCTAGAGCAGGGACAGAAAACACTGGGCTCACGTGACTGACATAAACACTACACACAGGCAGCCCACATGACACGCATGAGCACAGCAACAAGCCCTAGACCCGACCCAACACACACGCACACACATACACACAAGGCTCAGACAGGCTGCATCGTGTGCACCCCACAGAGCCTGGGATCCTCAAATCCCAGGCAGCAATGCCAGACACACAGCCCAACACAGAGACAACCAGACAACCCCCCTCGCACGCGCGCGCGTGCACACACACACCCCACAAGTCACACAGACACCCGGACCAGGCGCACCATGGCAAGGACACGTGCCCCGGAGACACACACAGCCAGCCACGGATGAGACGGGACACACACGCACACATCCCGCACACCCGCGCAAGCCGCTCCAGCCACACGCCACCCGGGGGGCACGCCAGAGCCACAGCACCACCCCCCATAGAGCGCGCGCAGACAACTCTGCCGACCCGCACAGGTGCACTGACCCCAGGACACGGGAGGCGCACGCGGGGACTCACGCACGCACCCCGACCGCCACGAACCCCAACATTCCTCCGGATGGACGTGACCACCACTCCCCGCAGGACCCCAGCGCCAACTCGGCGCCAGACTCGCGCACACACCCAGGCGAGACACCTGCAGATCCACAACCCCGCACACGCGCGCTCCCACGGCGGTCCCAGACGCCCCCCTCCGCTGTCACAGCCCCCCCCACCGCCGCCGCCACGTGCGCCCGCCCCGCCCGCCCAGCGAGCGCGGGGCCAATAACCGGCTGTTGCTGGGGCGCAGCCCCCGCCCGCAGGAGCCGCAGACTCCGCGGCCCGCGAGCCGCCCCCTGTCGCCGCCCCCAGCGGGCGCGCGCCCTGGGTGTGGCCGCCCCTCCGTGCCGCCCCCCCCACGCCCCTCCCGGACCTCGGGGGGCTGGGGCAACCTGGGGTCGACTCTCTCCCCCCGGGGCCCCACTGGCCGCCAGGGGGCGCTGCCGAGCACACACCCCATTGTTTGTAAACAAACCCGCCAGACCGCTGAGGCACCTGTGCGCCCAGACTGGACGCCCGCTCGCCTAAGCGCCTCCTGCCTGGCAAATCCGGTCTAGGAGTCCACGCCACCCCGCGCCGTACCCCGTGAAAGTGGAGGAGGCATGGCGTGGGAACGCAGGGCGCCCGCGCTGCTCTCCGAGCGCACGCCCGTCACCTCCTCCAGGAAGCCCACCCTGCCTGGCCGGTCGCCGCGGGCCGGGATTGGGGAAAGGGGGGTGGGTGCGCACACTCACCCCGGGGGCATGAAAACGCCGGAGGGGGCGGCGAGGGGCGGCGGGCGGCTTCCGTCAGGAGGGCGCGCCCGCCGAGCGCCGCTCGCTGCGGCTGCTGTCGCTGTCCTTCCTGCAGTGGCGGCGGCGGCTGCTGCTGCTGCTGCTGCTGCGGGCGCGTCTGCCGGTGGCCGCCGCCGCTCGCCTTGCTCGTGCCACCGCCGCCGCCAGGAACCCGCCCGCATGTGGCTCTCCCCGCGGCTCTGGCTGCCCGGCGGATCCCGGGCCCTCTCGGCGACCGCCCCGCCCCGCCCCGCCCCCGCCCGCCGGGTCCCACGCCCCGCCCCCGCGTGACGCCGCGGCCCCGCCCGCCGGCCGCGGACAAGTCGGGGCTTGCAGGCGCGCGCCGCGCCCCCCACCTCCGCGCGGGGGGTTTCCCTGCGGCCGGGGGCGGGGCGCGCGGGGGGCGGGGACGCCCAGCCCCCCGGGACGGCCGGCGCGCGCCCTGACACACTGACACACTGACTGCGACCCACGGACACACACACACACACCCACCGGCTGGCCGGCGCTCCAGGGTTCGCGAAGTCACGTGCAGACTCCCCGTCTCCCCAGTGCGCACCCTGGACAGGGGCATGGGCGCGCGGACCGCTCCCGTACCCTCCGCCCCAGACAAGAACGCACAAGCAGGCACTGACCACTAGGCCTCCAGGGTCACAGGGCACGCGCAAGTGACACTGCGACAGGGACACTCAAAGTTACACAAACACACACACTCCGAGACCCGAGTGTGCACGGAGCATCCGTGCCCCCGCCGCCCCAGCCACGGGCCCCAGGGCAGGGCCAGGCTGACAGCTTGCGAAATGCAGACTTAGGTGACAGACCCTCCCCCCCACGCACACGCACCTGCACGCCAGCCGGATCCACACCACTCTCCCGCGTGGACACACGCGAGCACACCCACGCGGTCTCCCTGCCCCGAGCACCGGAAAGTCGTCACGCATCAATCCACGGATCAATTGGAGCCACGAAGGGAAACTGACCCGCAAGGTGCGGTCACAGAAGCCACACCTGTGTGGAGGGTGCGCATCTGGCCGCGCTGCCCGCCACTGGGCCAGGGCACCCGGGAGGCGCAGGCCCTGGGCACCTGGCACGGACATGCCCGGGCAGACCCCGCACTAGGGTTCACCACGCTCGGGGCTCCCTTTCCCTTTCGAGTTTCCCTCCGTCACTTCCTTCCCCTTCTGAGTGGGTCACCTTCCCTCCCTCCCGCTGAGCCCGGGACCCTTGGTCTCTGTTCCGCTTTCCGTTCCCGGAGTGACAACATCCAAGCCCTGCACCAGAGGGTGACTCAGGGGGCCCGGCAGGTCTCAGAGCAGCAGCCTCGTCAGGCTTCCCAAGAGCAGAAAGTCCAGATCTCACCCCATCCTGAACCCTGGAGACCTCAGCGGCCTTCCCACCAGAGGGCATTCATTCATTCATTCATTCATTCCTGCGTCCAACCAGAGTGTTTTCCCCTGTGGGCCATGGGCAAACCATGGACCATGAAGTCACTGCTTTGGGTCTTGGTGGTTTTCTTTTTAAATGTTTTAATTTATTTATTTTTATTTTATTTGAAAGGCAGAGTCATGGGAGAGGGGGGTGGAGGGAGAGACAGAGAAGGAGAGATCTTCCATCCTTTGATTCACTCCCCAAATGCCCACACTATCCAGGGTTGGGCCAGGCCAAAGCCAGGAGCCAAGAGCCATGTGAGTGGCGAGGATCCAAGTACTTGAGACATCTGCTGCTGCTTCCCCACGCACGTGTCGCAGGGAGCTGGATCGGAAGCGGAGCAGCCGGGGCTGGAGCAGGTGCTCAGACGTGGGGTGCTGGTGTCATGGAGGAGCTTAACCCACTTGCCATACCGCCAGCCCCTTGCCTGGAGTTAGAAAAAAAATACACAATATGGAATATAGTGTTTGAATGTTAGGAAAACTTGCTTTGTGAGCTGCTACTGAGTCAGTACACCCAAGGTTGCAAGGAAAAGTATTTTTCTGACCGCGGATCCAGTGCGAAGATGTTGGAGAAACACTGCTTTAGACTGATTAAATGAGACCGTGCACTTGGAAGTCGCTGGGTGCAGTGTGTGATACACAGTAAGCGCTTGTTGAGTGGGTGCCATTATCACTCGATGTCTCCGGGCTGGCAGTGCTTCCTGGGTGCCTGGCAGCCACGCAGTTGAGAAGGGGCAGGGCCCAGCCCTCCCCCGGCTGTGGCTGTGGTCCAGCCGCACCCTTCATTCTCCCCCCAGTGCCCGCAGGCTGCACGGGATAACAGGAGGCCAGACGGGGATGGAGGGCAGGGGGCGTCTAGCTTGGTGGTTGGAGATGGGACAGCAGGGCAGAGGCCCAAGGGTCACCGGTCAGGGTCCACTCCAGTGTCTACTGCAGACCCTACTTCAAATTCTAGGGCCCTGTCACCCGGGTCAGACTCAGAGCCATCATCACATACAGGAGAGAAAGGAGTCCAGTGGAAGCAGTAGGGAATGGTAGGGACTGTGGCTAATGGATAGGTTGCATTGCTTAGGGAGGAACTCATTAAAAACTTTGTGGGCAAAGAAAAATAGCTGTGGCTGGTCGTCTTTTTGAGGCCCCCTACCCTAGAGGCACAGGGAGAGTTGATTGCCCCCCCCCACCTCCATCTCCCAGAGTACACCGGTATCCTGGCAGGTCTCCTGGAGGGGGGGCACGGACACCTCTAATAAGGGGTGAGAGCCGGACAGGGTCGTGGAGGGGAGGGGCTTAGCCAGGCCTGATGGCCCAGTGAGTCCCCAGCTCCGCCGCCTGCTGGCTGTGTGACCCTGGGTGAGTGGTCCTGTGTCTGTGCCTCCACTTCCCCACCTGTGAGTTGAGAGAGAAAGTTATGCAGGGTGAGCCAGCCCGTAGGAATAAAGTACTGGGGCACAGGGGGGCTTCAGGGGTTCCGCCTGGGGTGGGGGCCCAGCACCTCAGAGAACCCAAACAAGGCCCTGGAGTGCAGCCCCGCGGCTGGGGCAGGGGTCTCCAGCAGGCAGGCCCCTGGCCTTGCAGACTCTCCCTTGATGGAGTGACAAAGCACCCAGCCTACCAGGGGTCCTGAGGACCTGGGTTTTGTCCTGGGCAAGGGGATTGTCCACCTGGCGGGAAGAGGGGCCCTCATGGGGTGCTAGGTGAGAGGGTGCGCAAGTCCCAGCCGGCTCCAGGCAGACCCACGCACACGCGCTCCCCCCCAAACCCCACGATCTCGGAGAAGCCGGCCGCGCAGCGCCGGGCGCGGGGAGTTGCGAAGGACTTAACTTTTCACCGCAGGGCCTGCGTCGGGCCCTCCTGGGTCCACCCCCCCCAACCCCGCGCGCGCGCCCCGCCTGCCCCGCAGGCCCCGAGGCTGGACCCGAGCCGCGTGGGGGCTGGGCGGGGGCGCGGGCGTCCGCAGGGTCCGAGCGGCCGGCGCGCGTGTGAAGGTTACCGCTCGGCGGCGGGCGGGGGCGCGCGCTGTTGCTGGGGTCTGCGGGGCCTGCCTGCGCCCGCGCCCCCGCCCCTTCCCGGCCAGCCAGTGAGCGGTACCCGCCGCCGTTGCCAGGGGAAACTCGCCGCCCCGTTACCCAGCAACAAGCCTGGCCCAACCAGGCGCGAGGACCCCCAGGCCCCGCCCGCCGCTGCCCACCGCGTGCCCAATGCCAGGCGGGCAGAGCCGGCCGGGCTCCCGGAGACGGCGAGCGCGTTCATTGGCCGCCGCGGCGCCCGCCCGGATCTGGGGGAGCCCTCGGCGCGGGGGGCGGGGAGCCGGGCCCGGGGGAGCTGCCGGGCGCGCGGCCGGCTGGGGTGAGACACGGGCTGGGCACCGTCCACGTCCCTCCCCCGCTCTGCCCCGCATCCTCGGGCGAGGATGGGCAGTGGGGCTGGGGCTGCGCGTCGTGTCCCTCCCCCGCGGGAAGTTGGCCTCCTGAAAACACACCGAGTGTTCCCCTCTCTGTGCTTGCTGACCCCTGGAGACGGGGCTGGGGGTGCCTCGGGTGCCACCCCCCAAACACGACGCACGCATCGTGGTCCTGGAAAACAGGAGCCTTCCCGCAAGAGAACCCAGGCGTCCTTGCCGCATACAAAAGAGGGGGTACCCCTCCCACAGGAGCCGAGCACGCCTGGGCCCCTGAAAACAGGGGCAGGGGCCTCCTTCCTCGGGGACGCTGGTGCCCCATCCCCACAGGGACCAGGGTCCCGGTCCCCAGCCGCCTCCGAACCCCCTGGCTTCCTGGCCCCACCATCCGGATCGTGGGAGACCCTCGGGTATCCATTCCTGCGGATGCTCACCTGCCCGGCCCCAGGTGCCTGCCCCCTCCCCCTGAGCCCTTTCCCCAGGGCCCGGCAGGTTGGTCTCGCAGGACAGAGGGCTTCTGACCTCATAGCTACTTTCTCTACTCCTTGGCGCCCGATCTCCCAGCTCACGCCAGGGTCCCAGGCCTCCTGGTGCCAAGAGCCCTGGAATTCAAGCTGGGCGCCTCTCAGACCCCCACCCCTACCCACGCACACACCTACAACCGACCTAGCCCCTCCGTGGTGCTGGGAGGGAGGGGTGCCCAAGGACCCACGTCTGGGAGACCCAGCCTCCCTCTATTAGGTGGCCCCAGGGCTGGCAGCCCCGGGCTCTAGGGACCCTGCGGTGTGTCCCTAGGCCACCACGGGGCGGCCCGGAGTCGGCAGTCCCACTCCAGGGAGAGCCGGGGCCGCGGCGCGTGCAGCTCCAGCCGTGCTGAGCCCAGGTGCGGCGCGCCCCTACCCGGGTACCTGCGGGGGGGCGGAGTCTAGGATTACTCAGCCTCCAGAATGAGGCGATGACATCATCCTGGGGAGGGGGGTGACTAATGGCCGCGCTGCGGGGGGGGGCGGGGAAGTTTACCCGGTAACAGCGCTGCGGCGCGGCCCCGCCCCCAGGGAAGGAGGGGAGGGGGCGGTGGAGCGCGCGCGCGCAAACACACACACACACACACACACACGCGCACAGGCCCACCTAGCATCCCTCTCCGGAGTGCCACATGGCGCACAGCTTCCCGGGCAGGGGCCGCGCGCGTGTGTGTGTGTGTGTGTGGAGTTTTCTTTAGGGCTGTGGCCGGGGTGCTGTGTGTGCCATTGTGTGTCAGTGTGATGGTGTGGGGGTGACACCTGCCACAGCGCCGCCTATGTGCAGGGCTGCGTGACAGCCTGTTCAGTGCGCCCAGTACGCTGGGGCGTGACCCCGGGAGTCAGCGCGCCTCCATCGGAACGGACTTGTGTGGCCCTGGGATGGCACGGGGTCAGAGTGTTGGCGGGAAGGTTTGTGGCTGAGTCTGTAACCATGTGTGTACCCACGCGGCAAGGTGTACTGTGTTAGGCCGCGTGGTGGGCCCCGTGTCACTCCCAGGACGCGCGTGGTGCGTGGCGCGGCATTGTGTACCAGGGTGCGCGTGTATCTCGACCCTGCGGTCTGCGCTGGGCCCGAGCTGTGACCGCATCTGAGCGTGTGCGCGCGGGATTGCGTGGCTCCGTGTCACCGGTGTGCGTGCAACAGTGTGTCCGAGACGGCACCCACCGCGTGCGGCCGGCGGGACGGGGCGGTGCGTGCGCCCTCAAGAATGCCTGTTCCTGGCGACGCTGGGTGTAGGGGCGACTGCGGGGCCGGGCGGCGCTGCGGGGCCCGGGACTGCTGCTGCTCCTCTGCCCGGGCCGGGGCCCGCGTGTGTGCATCGTTTGGCTGGGGCCGCCGCGGCAGGTCCCTGGGCGCGTGCCTGCGCGCGTCGCTGGGTGCCGGGGCAGGCGCGCGCGTCTCCAGGCCTCCTGCCCGAGAACAGCGGCGCCGCGCTCTGATTGGCTGCGGCCGCGCCAGTGAGCGGCTCGCGCCTCCTGCGGGAACTCGGGGACCCGGGGACTTGGGGATGGGGCTCGCACACCGCGGCCCGGGGCTGGGCGGGAGGGGCTGGCCCTCCTCATCCCCATCCCCAGCCACGCTCAGAGTTCACTTTTCACGGTGCGAGGGCAGCCAGGGCGCCGTCTCACCGCCTGGTCCCCGCCCCTCCCCGCAGGCAGCAGGCCCCACGCGAGGCAGACTCCAGGAAGGACTTCCCGCCCCGGCTCAGCACCCGAGCTTTATCGCTGCAGCCAGGAGCGGGCCAGGCGGCCCCGTGGCTTCCGGAGGCACCCGGGCGGGGATGAGCTCACCTCGAGTTGGCTCGGATTTCATCAGCTTCCTCTGCCCGAGCCGCCCCGGCTCGCTCGGCTTCCCGCGCCCCGCACCGGCCGCGCAGGCGAATCTGCCGGGCGCCTGCTGCCCCCCAGCGGCCGGAGGCGGGAGCGCAGGCGGCGCGCATACAGCGCGCTTTGGCCTGGACCAGGCGGGAACACGGGTCAGCTTCTCCGCGGCCCCAGGCGCCTTCAGTCCCGTTTACAGGGCGGAGTGTGAGGTCAGAGCGGCCCAGGGCGTCCCCCGGCAGGCACGGCTGCGGGTGTAGACGCTGGAGAACAGCGCGGGGAAATTCTTGTCCTACCTTCCTGGGGCTGACCCCTTGGCCTGGGGGAGGGGGGAAGACGGACAATGAGGAACATAAGCGACAGCGCACACTGAGTCTTCTAAAGAGAGAGAGCGCGGAGCTGGGCAGGGCGCCCAGGCAGGCTGTCCCTGAGAAAAGTGACAGCTCAGAAAGTGACCGGACAGCAGCGGGAGGAGCAGTTGCAAAGGTCCTGCGGCCACAGGGGGGGGGGCGGCTGGAAGGGCTGGAAGGGGATGAAAAAGAGAGCAGCAGGAGGTGACGTCAGAGAGGGGGCGCTCTGGGCGAGCCCGGGGTGCAGAGCTCTCAGCGCATTCGGTGGGCGAACCGGGGCGCAAGCTCCGAGCGCATCCCGTGCTAGCGAGCGCCCTCTGGTGGCCGAGCGGGACGCAAGCTTGGGCCAGGCTGCAGGTGCGGCGGCCCCGGCCCAGGCCCCGGCGCGGGGGCAGGGGCTTACTGCGGGGGTGCGGGGCCTTGGGCAGCTCACTGCGCGTCTCTGGCTCCGGCTTGCTGCTCTAAGTAGGGAACAGAAACAGCAGAGGACGAGCTGATGAGGTAATAATGCCAAGAGTGAAGGGCTCATTAAATATAGCACCGACTCTCTTCAGGGCTGGGGAGTCCACGGCGCCCAAGCGAATCATGAGAAAACAATAAGAGATATAATGCAGCAGCCCTGTAAGCCTGCAGGCTCTGGGGTTCGTGCCACCTCCTCCATCCAGGACCTACAGATTCCTTCCGGGCCTCCCTCCAGCCCCCTAACAGTTCATCTTCTCTGCACTCGGCCCTGTGCTGCTTTTTAAAACCTCCTAGCTATATGGCCTGGCCAGGGGAGCCCAAGATGCTGCTTCCTCCACGCGGGCTGCCTGGCTTGCCCCGCCCCTCACCCAGGCCTCTTCCCAAAAGGTCACCTCCCCCCAGAGGCCCTCCTGGACCACCCCTGCCCCCTGCCCTCTGCCCTGCCCGCTGTGGCTCCATGTGCTTGACGGCTGGTTCCTGGCCCGACGTCCTGGCCCCCACCTCGCTCCCGCAGGTGCGGGAGGATTTGCAGAGCGAGGGCGCCCCGCCGCCCCTTAGTGGCCAGTGGGCAGCGTCTGCGGCCGCAGGGCCGTCGCGTCTCTCGGACCTTGGTGAAACTGGACCTCAAGGAGCTCCTGGGAAAATGAGGTAAGAGCTGGAGTATTTGGGCTCAAAAATTTTGAAGCTCATGCATAGTGTTTTCCTGGCAGGTGCTTTCTTCTCTTAAAAGATTGATTTGTTAGAGAGAGAGAGAGAGAGAGAGATCTTCCATCCACTGGTTCACTCCCTAATTGCTCAAACAGCTGACGCCCGGAGCCCAGAACTCGATCCTGGTGTCTGACGTGGGCACCTGAGCTGTCCTGTCTGCTGCCCCCAAGGTTGCATTAACCGGAGGCCGGGCGGGGCGGGGCGCTGCTGGGGTGGGGATTTAACCACAGCACCAGAAGAGCGCCCGCATCCGGTAAAGCCGCCGCCTGCGAGGCCGGCATCCCACAGGGGCGCTGGTTCGAGTCCCGGCTGCTCCACCTCCGACCCAGCTCCCTGCTAAGGCGCCTGGGAAAGCAGTGGAAGATGGTCCGCCACAGCCAGGGCCGGGCCAGGGGCCTGGGGCTCTGCCCGGGGCCCCCAGGTGAGCGGCAGGGGCCGGGAGGGACTTGAGCCGAACGCCCACCGCCCAGCCCACCGGGAAGGCGGGGCGCCGATGGCGGGGGACCTCGGGGACAGGCACCCCCCATTCCTATGCGTGGATTTTCACTTTATTAGGAAGGCAGAGAGGGAGGTCTGTCCCTTTGCGAGTTCTGCATGCTGTTTCCACGGGAGACTTCTGGGGACGAAGAGCTGAGGCGAAGTGTCGCCGAACTGGCCGCCCGAGGCGCCCGGGGCTCACTCGGACCCGCTTCCGCCAGCCCCCGCCCCGAGCGCGCGCGGCCCCTTTAAGACTCCCGGAAACGGGCTGGCGGACCGGAAGTGACCCCGTTTATTTCCCCGCCTCACGTGGTGCGGGCGGGAAGTGACGCACGCGGCCCGGGAGCTGCGGACGCGGAGGCTGACGGAGCCGGAGTCGCGGGCGCTGCGGGGTCTCTGGGACAGGTGACCGGGCGAGGGGGCCGGGAGCGCGCCCGGCGAGGGCGGGGCCTGCGCCCTCACGTGAGGGGAGCGACAGCCGGCGGGGGCGGGGTCAGAGGGCTCTGCGGGGGGCGGGGACGGGACGCCCACATGGGAAGCCCGAGGGGCGCTGGCGGGGCGGGGCGTGGGTGGGTGGGCAGGGCCCGGGGGCGGTTCCGGGGGCGTGGCCGCGCGGCGGTGGGGGCGAGGCTGAAAAGTGGCGCCCGGGCTGTGGGCGGGGCCGCGGCGTGGCCGGGGGAGCTGTGGGCGGGGCCGCGGCGCTGGCTGAGCACGCTGGGGGCGGGGCCAGAAAGTTTTGCCCGCGCTGCAAGTGGGTCTTGTTGGACGGCCGGTGGTCCGGGGTGGGTCCAGAGGCTGACGTAAAGGCGAGGGCTGGGCCGAACGTGCTGAGGGGCAGGGGGCGGGACTGGGGTGCTGGCGGGGAACGCCGGGGGGTGTGGCCACCGTAAAGTTTTGCCAGAGCCAGAGGCGCGGCCCCTGCTTCGGCGGGGAAGCTGTGGGCGGGGCCAGGTGCTTGCGTAGGAGAGGGGGCGTGGTCAGGGCGTGGCTGAGTGAAATCCGAGAAGGCGGGCGGGCGCGGGCTCAGGCTGTTGCCTGGGGAGCTACGGGGCGGGCCTGAGAGAACTGTCTGGGAAAGGTCGGGATCTTGGCCGGGTGCGTGACTCAAGGACGTGGGCGGGGCCAGGAGAATGGCGGGAAGGGCGGGACCAGAAAGTTTGGCCCTGGCTGGCTTCTGGGCTTGCCCGGGGCGGGGCCGTGGAGCTGGTCCTTGGAGCACCCGGGGCGGGTCCCGAGCGCGTTTGTAGCGCCTTCCTGGCAGAGGTGAGAGGCTGCTGTGCCTGTCTCAGGATGCCCGGGTGGGGCTGAGCGTCCCCGCGGGAGATGTGCGCAGCGGGGGAGTGGTGTTGGGCCTTGTCTTGAGTGCGGGGTCAGGGCGTGTTTCTGAGGCAGGGCGTGGGAGGGCCGGAGCTCCCTGGAGATGGAGCCGGGCTGAAACGCCCACCTCGGGGCTCTGGAGGCGGCCCTGGAGCGTGCATTTGGAGGGGAGCAGGGGTGGAGGCTCCCTTAGGCGGCGGGCACGGCCCGGGTGTTTCTGAGATGCGCAGGACTGCAGCGGTGCCAGCGAGCGACAGTGGGAAGGGGCAAGGGCCTGAGGGTGGCAGGGTGGGCAAGGATCCTCGGGGGTGCGGGTGGTTCTGTGTCTGCGTGAGGAGCCCCCAGTGCGGGGGGCTGGCGCAGATCGGGGGGCACTGGCCTCTGCCCTCAGGAGCCGCCTGCTGCAGCCAGACCGTGTAGCGGAGGAGTGGCGCGACGCCGGCCGTGGCCAGCGAGATGGTGAGCCCGCAAGTAGGCTTCTGGGAGCGTGAGCTTTGAGGTGGAGGGCTGGGGGGCCGGCCTGGGGTGGGGGCGGTGTCCCCCCGCTTCTCACTGCGTCCCGGCCTCAGGCAGCCGCGCTGGACTTGAAGTCAAAGGAGGAGAAGGATGCCGAGCTGGACAAGAGGATCGAGGCTCTGCGGCGGAAGAACGAGGCCCTCATCCGGCGCTACCAGGTGCCCTAGCCCCACCCTGGGAGACCCCCCCCCCCCCCAGTGAGTCTCACCTCTCCCTTCCTTAGCGGCTTTTCGTGGTCCCTGTCAGTCATTTTCTGGGTGGAAGCCAGAGGCCTTGGCCTGGCCGTCCCTTCTCATCCCATCCCCCACTCACAGGTCCTCCCCGTGGTCCTCGCTGCAGCAGCCCGGAGGGGGGTCTCTGGGAGTCCAGAGTGGGCTCGTGACCCAGCCTGGGCGCCGTCAGAGAGGGCTTCCTGCAGGAGGGGTCTCTGAGGCCTGACGGGGGAGCTGACGTTAGCCAGTTGGAGAGGAAAGGGGGGGTGACATGCTTCAGGCCGACGGGACGACGTGGAAACTAGAGTTGGAGAGACCAGACCTTGGCACGGGGCTTATGTCACTGCTGGGGACGCTCACGTCCCGCATGACGGGGCCCAGTTTGCATCCCACTTCCCTGCTGCCGGTCCAGCCTCCTGCGCATGTCTGTCCTGGGGGGCAGCAGATGTTGGCTCCAGTCCTTGGGCCCCGGCCACCCGTGGGCAGCCGCACTGGAGCTCCAGGCTCCTGGCTTCAGCCCGGCCCAGCCCTGGCTCTCAGGGGCGTCTGGGGGATGAACCAGTGGGTGCAAGCCCCTCTCCCCTCCCTCCATCTCTCTCTGTCTCTCCCTCTCACTGCCTTTCAAGTCAGATGGAAGTAAATAGTTGATTAAAGCAGGAGCTGAAGTTGGGAGAGTCTTGACACAGAGAGGTCAGCAGGGCCAGGCCAGGCAGGGCCCTGGGTGCCGCCGGGCTGGGGCTTGGGAGCCTCGGGCGGCTTGCCGTGGGAGGGGGCCTGGGTCAGAGTAGCTTTTGGAACCGAGTGGGAGGGGCAGAAGGGGGATCCAGAGGCCCAGGAGGAAGCGGGGCAGGGACCCTGCGGGAGAGGCAGGGCCTGGCTCAGGGCAGGGCCGTGTGGTGAGCCTTGTCCAGGACGGGCCCAGTGTAGGGGCAGGGCGGGCGCTCCACGTCTTCATTCTTCCCTCGGCCGTCCATTCACACGAAAAGGGGCAGGGTCTCTGCTGTGTGTGTGGGGGGGTCCAGGCAGTGACTGCAGAAGGCAGCCCCCCCAGCGTGCTTGCTGGGGGCCATCCCAAAGGCCTCCTTGGGCGGGGGACGTGGAAGTGGGGGTTCGGGCCCCTGGGGAGGAGTGTTCCTGGCAGTGGGGGCGCTGTGAGTGGGTGGGGGTGGGCACCACGCAGACCCTCGGGGCGCCCGTGCGCTGTCCAGGGCCAGGCTCCGACCGAGCAGGGCCGAAGGAGGGTGCCGGGAAGAGCAGCTTTCTTGACCAGAGCTCAGGGTGAGGCCTGGGCCAGCGGGGGCCGGGCTGGCGGCGGGGCCCCTGACCCCTGTGCCCCGTGCGCCCCAGGAGATCGAGGAGGACCGGAAGAAGGCCGAGCAGGAGGGCGTAGCGGTGACGGCGCCCCGGAAGGGTCGTGCGGTGGAGAAGGAGAACATGGCAGTGGAGGTGGTGGGCTGGGCGCTGGGGGGAGTGCTGGGGTGGGGGCGGCCTGCGGCCTGGGTGGTCCACCCCCCCCCCCGCCCCCTGACTGGACTTCCCCTCCCCCGACCTGCAGGAGAAGAGCCTGGGTCCCTCCAGAAAGTCTCCTGGGACCCCTCGGCCCCCAGGCCCCAGCAAGGGGGGCCGGCCTCCGCCTCAGCAGGGGGGCCGGGCAGGCGCGAGCCGGCCCTCCCGCAGCTGGGAGGGCAGCCCTGGGGAGCAGCCGCGGGGAGGAGCCGGGGCCCGGGGCCGCAGGGGCCGAGGCCGAGGCGCCCCCCATCTCTCAGGAGCCGGAGACACCTCAGCTGCCGACCGCAAGTCCAAGGTAGGAGCGGGTGGGGCCTGAGCCGGGGCCTCGGGTCTCTGCCGGGTCTCTGCCTGCTCGGCTTCCGGGGCCTCGGACCCCCTCCCCACCCCCCGCCGCTGCGGCTGTGTCCCTCTGCCCCTCGCTCTGGTGTGGTCCCCTCCCCACCTCCTCCTCGTGGCCCTGGGCAGCGCTGGCTGCTTATGTCTGCGCCTTGTACGTGCTGGGGGAGCCCTGGCACACTCGGCCGACGTGGGCCAGCACAGGCTGATGTTTCAGGACACGTGTGCGATGGCGGAGAGCAAAGGCTTGGCAAGGGCGTTTGCCGCCCGGGCACGCCAAGCTGCCGGCCCGGGGCTAGCTGTGGTGCGGGGTTACTCCGCCAGTCGCCGGTCCGGTGAAGGCAGAGGCCGAGCTCCGTGATGTCACTCAGGGACCCGGGTCCTGCCTTGGTTGCTTGGCCACCCCCTTGGGCAAGGCTGGGGAAGGTCGGCAGTGAAATCACGTCACCAGCACAAGTGACGTCATGAGTATCATGTGGCTCTCGGCCGAAGGAAGGTTTTCCAGCCCTGCCCTGGGCCATGGTCAGGGCTGTGGTCGTGGTCAGGGCTGTGGGCATGGTCAGGGCTGTGTGCGTGGTCAGGGTTGTGTGAGTGGTCGTGGTCAGGGCTGTGGTCATGGTGAGGGCTGTGTGTGTGGTCAGGGCCGTGGGCGTGGTCAGGGCTGTGGGCGTGGTCGTGATCAGGACTGGTTGCAGGCGCCCTGAGTTCACAAGGAGGAGAAAGAGGAGGCAGTTGGATGGCTTTAGCAAGAACTCACAGCCCGGCCACAGCTGCCTGCCCAGGAGCCTGGGGCTGAACGTGTCGCCTCTCCGGGCGGCCACGTGTTCATGTGAAATGTCTTTCGCCCTGAGAGTGGGCGTTTGGCCTGGTGGTTCAGCGTGGGAGCTCGTGGGTTCATCCCTGGCTCCGCCTCCTACGCCGCGGACTCTGGGAGGGGAGGGCTCACATAACCGAGCTCCCGTCACCCTGGAGAGGACCTGGGTTGCGTCCCTGGCTCCTGGCCTTGGCCTCATGCAGCAGGCAGTGAGGCCATCCGGGGAGTGGACGCCCAGATGGGGGCTCTCCTGCCTGTCTCGCTCTCCGCCTCGGGCAGACAGGAAGTAGTCCACGTGTTCTGAGATGCTGTGGCTTTGGGAGGGGGAGAGCCGCTCACGGAGGCCACCGAGCCCGCGAATGTCGGCTGTGGCCGCCGTCCGTGTCGTGTGTCAGCCCTGGTGGGTTGGGGTCCCTGGTGCCCTGACCCTGACCCCAGGCTCGGAAGGCCCGGCATGTGGTGGCCTCGTGGCGCAGCCTCCTTCCAGGGAGAGGGCGCAGAGCAGGGTCTGGGAGGAGACGCCGGCTTGCCGAGCCCCTGCCCGTGGAGTCGCGGGGAACTCACGCGAGAGCCGGTGCCCGGGGGCGGTGTCGGGGCTGCCCTGGAAGGGCACCAGGCGGTGGGCAGCGGGGTGCGGGCGCCCGCGCTGCTGACGGGGCGTCTCCGTGTCGCCAGGAGTGGGAGGAGCGGCGCAGGCAGAACATCGAGAAGATGAACGAGGAGATGGAGAAGATCGCCGAGTACGAGCGGAACCAGCGGGTCAGTGCCGCCGCGGCCCCGGGCGGGCGCAGCCCACCTGCCCGCCGCCCACCGCCCACCGCCACCCCTGTGCCTGCAGGAGGGGCTGCTCGAGCCGAACCCCGTGCGGAACTTCCTGGACGACCCCCGGCGGCGCAGCGGGCCCCTGGAGGAGCCTGAGCGCGAGCGGCGGGAGGGCAGCCGGCGGCACGGGCGCAACTGGGGGGGCTCGGACTTCGAGCGCGTGCGCTGCGGCCTGGAGCAGGAGCGGCAGGTGGGTGCCCCCGCGTCCCGCATGCTGTGCGGGGCCCCGGGGTGCCCTTAGGGAGGGTTCGCATGGCGGGAGTGTGCCCTGCTAGGCCGTCTTCCCTGGTCGTCGAGAGGCACCCCGGGTCGCCCCCACCAGGCTCACCCTGCGTGGTTATCAGAGCTTTGCAGGATGTCACGTGGGCGACGTTAGTGCTGCGCCAGGCACAGCTCACAGAGCAGCTCGCTTCTGCTGGGGGCTGGGTGAGCGAGAAGTAGGCGAGGGCTGAGGTCGGAGGAGGGCTGCTTAGCAGAGAGATCTGGGAGGGCCTCTCTGCTCTGTGCATGTCACCTGCTCCCTGGGCACCGCCCCTGCGCCTGGGGGAGGGGAGGGCTGGGCTGGGGACGAGAGCACTGACTGCCTTTGCGCGTGGCAGGGCCGCCGGGCAGGCCCGGGCAGCGCGGGCGACATGACGCTGTCCATGACGGGCCGGGAGCGGTCGGAGTACCTGCGCTGGAAGCAGGAGAGGGAGAAGATCGACCAGGAGCGGCTGCAGAGACACCGCAAGCCCACTGGCCAGTGGCGGCGGGAGTGGGACGCCGAGAAGACCGACGGGATGTGAGTCCTCCGCCCCCCGCCAGCCTGGAGCTTTGGGCTCGGCCCCAGCTTCTGACCCCGTTGCTGCTGTCTGCTTTCTCTCGCGTCTGTGTCTCAGAGCCATTGCTAAGGCAAGGCTGGGGCGGGGCAGTCCCCCTCTCTCGCTGGGCTTGGCTCACCCGGCCGGCCGGTCAGCTAGGGGTCCTGCTGGGCTGGGCTGGGCTGCAGGTGGAACTCGGGTCTGCTCCGTGTGTGTTGCTTCTGCGGTCCAGGCCGAGGGCAGAGCTACCTGAGAGGGGCGTGTCGTAGTGCTGGCAGGTGCACAAGCAGGCAGGCAGACCCCTCCCCGCCGAGGCTGCCTGCTGCGGCAGGTGGCATGGCGCGGCTTGTGCGGCCAGGGGTTGGGGAGTGAAGACTCGCTGCCAGCGCCCGGTCCTCGGCACCCTCAGCCCTCTGCCCAGCAGAAGCCCCGAGCTGTTCTGCACACCGCGTCACCCACTCACCTGGAGGCATGGCCATGCTGTCCCCTTCCGGTCCCGGTGGAAAATCCAAGCGGTCAGACCTAAAGTCGTCCTTGCGAGGGCCAACTTCATAGCCAAGAAGGCGGCTCTAGAAGAGCCAGTGGATGCAAGTCTTAGTTTATTCTTCTCCTTTTAATTCACGAGGCAGAGCGCGCGCTCTCCAGCAGTGGTTAGTCCCCAGACGCCCTGGGTCATTGCCCAGATGCCCGAAGCTTGGCCAGGCCAGGCCAGGCCGAGATCAAGAGCTGGGAATGCAAGCCAGGTTTCCCACGTGGGTGGCAGGAGCCGATTGCCGCCGCCTCCCAGGGTCTGCCTTGGCAGGAAGCGGGAGTCGGGCTGGAGCTGGGAATCCAGCCGAGGCCTCCAGTGTGGGAGGCTGCGGGGCGTGGGCGTCAGGGCCGGCCAACCGCCCACCACAGCCCCGGTGTTACCCCACTTCCAGCCTGTGCTCTATTGGGAGCGTCCATGCACCTCGAACCTATATTGTTGGCTCTGGCTAAAGAAGAGGATGACTTTGTATGGTTTCTGGTGGTCAGGATCTTAGTAAAACATTCTGAATTTTTATTTACTTGAAAGGCAGAGGGAGACAGGTTATCCGTGCCTCTTCCTTCCTCTGGGTTACTGTGTAGCCGTCAGGGCTGGGCCAGGCTGAAATCTGCAGCCGGGAGCTTCTTCCGAGTCTGGCATGTGGGTGCAGGGACCCAGGTGCTTAGGCCATCTTCTGTTGCTTTCCCAGGCGCATTAGCAGGGAGCCGGATGGGAAGTGGAGCAGCGGGGACTTGAACCGGCGCTCATATGGGATGCTGGCACTGCAAGCGGTGGTTGGACCCACTGCACTGCAGCACCACCCCCAAGTAGCACCTTAACCCCCCTTTTTTTTTTTGATAGAGTGGACAGTGAGAGAGAGAGAGACAGAGACAAAGGTCTTCCTTTTCTGTTGGTTCACCCGCCAGTGGCCGCTGTGGCCGGTGCACTGCGCTGATCTGAAGCCAGGAGCCAGGTGCTTCTCCTGGTCTCCCATGCAGGTGCAGGGCCCAAGGACTTGGGCCATCCTCCACTGCACTCCTGGGCCACAGCAGAGAGCTGGCCTGGAAGAGGAGCAACCGGGACAGAATCCGGCGCCCTGACTGGGACTAGAACCCGGGGCGGAGGATTAGCCTAGTGAGCCACGGTGCCGACCGGCCCATTACCTTTTTCAAATCATAACCCAAGGGGGCCGAATCGTAGCTCAGCGCTGCTCAGGGGTGCGGCCCGGGTGGCGGCCGTTTGCCTTCAGTGTCCGAAGCAGCCTGCGTGGAGAATGATGTGCGGGTGGGAATTCCATCAGCAAACACCCGTTGAGTCTCCGGGTGGCCCGGGGTTCTAGGTGATGGGATGGCAGCAGTGGACGGAACATTTCTGCCTCAGTGGAACCTGAAGCCTGGTTGGACAAATGGACAGTGAGTTGATCTCTCAGGTTGTAGACTGAGGCAACAGAGCGAGGAGACAGGGATGGGAGTTGTTAATTTAGACACAGGTGATGAATGCTATCATATTGCTCTGGGGGGGTTCAGCTAGGCTTCTGAGCTGTGGCTTGAGGGAGCTGAGGGAGTGGGCCAATGACGAATGTCCAGGAGCAGCAGGTGCAAAGGCCCTGAGGCAGCATCTAGGGATGGTGGGAGAGATGAGGTCAGCTAGGGCGGTGGACATCCTGGACTTCCAACGAGGGTCTGTGGTGAACTCCCACAGTTTGTTTTTGCAGCCAGTCATATTTATTTTTTGCAGATCCATTCATTCATTTTTTTAAAAGATTTATTTATTTGAAAGAGTTACACAGAGGAGGAGAGGCAAAGAGACAGATCTTTCATCCAGTGGTTCACTCCCCAATTGGCTGCAACAGCCAGAGCTGCGCAGATCCGAAGCCAGGAGTCGGGAGCTTCCTCCTGGTCTCCCACATGGGTGCAGGGGCCCAAGGACCTGGGCCATCTTCCACTGCTTTCCCAGGCCACAGCAGAGAGCTGGATCAGAGGTGTAGCAGCCGGGTCTCGAACCAGTGTCCTCATGGGATGCTGCCATTGCAGGCGGCAGCTTTACCTGCTACGCCACAGCACCAGCCCCCGTTCATTTAAAAATCAGAGTGATGGAGAGAGGGATCTCCTTCTGCTAGTTCACTCTCCCGACGGCTGAACAGCCAGGGCTGGGCCAGGCTGAAGCTAGAAGCCTGGAGCTCCATCCGAGGGTGGCAGGGCCCAAGCACTCGTGAGGCACGTTAGCAGGGCGCTGGAACAGAAGCCGAGCGGCCGGGACTCGAAAAGGCGCTGCTATGTGGGGTGCCAGCTTTTTCTGGGTGGCGGGGAGGGGTGAGATTCTGGATTTTCTTTCTGTTTTTGTCGCTACAATGTCCAGTTTGCCTTCCCGCATCGCCCTGCTTCTGCTCGGGCAGGGCACCACGTGTCCCTCCCTGACTGGATTTCTGACCCTGGCCTCGCCCCGGCTGCTCTCCCTCCTCGTGCTCCCTGGCTGCCCCGTCTCACCTGTTCTCTTTCCTCAGGTTCAAGGATGGCCCAGCGGCAGCCCACGAACCGTCCCACCGCTACGGTGAGGGGTGTCCTGGTGTGCTCGGGCGGCGGGCTGGGTGGGCTTGGGGATGAGGAGGTCGTTGCATTCCCCCTGGCTCTTCCTGGTTGTGTTGCAGATGACCAGGCCTGGGCCCGGCCCCCCAAGCCTCCCACCTTCGGGGAGTTCCTGTCCCAACATAAAGCTGAGGTCAGCGGCCGCAGGCGGAGGAAGAGCAGCCGGCCCCAGGCCAGGGCAGTGCCCCGCGTCTACAGGTGAGGGCGCTCCTCCATGTCTACAGGTGGGGGCGCTCTCCCCGCCTCTACAGGTGTTCTCCCCCGCCTCTACAGGTCGGGGCGCGTTCCTCCATGTGTACAGGTGGGGCGCTCTCCCCGCCTCTACAGGTGGGGGCGCTCTCCTCCATGTCTACAGGTGGGGGCGCTCCTCCATGTGTACAGGTGGGGGCGCTCCTCCATGTGTACAGGTCGGGGCGCGCTCCTCCATGTCTACAGGTGGGGCGCTCTCCCCGCCTCTACAGGTGGGGGCGCTCTCCTCCATGTCTACAGGTGGGGGCGCTCCTCCATGTGTACAGGTGGGGGCGCTCTCCTCCATGTCTACAGGTGGGGGCGCTCCTCCATGTGTACAGGTGGGGGCGCTCTCCTCCATGTGTACAGGTGGGGGCTCTCTCCTCCATGTGTACAGGTGGGGGCGCGCTCCTCCATGTGTACAGGTGGGGGCTCTCCCCAGCGCTGGCACAGTCAGCGGGGCTGCACGGCCCTGGCCGCCGGCTGCTTGCTTCTCTGACCTGGTGCGGCTGCGTGTGGGCACATCTGTCTGTCTGCCTGCCTGCCTGCCTGCCTGCCTCTCTCTGTCCTGAATCCTGTCCTTGCCCTCTGGTTTTGGGGTTGACGTGTGGCTTCTGGTTTTTTCCTCCTGCCTCCCCCATCCCCCCGACCCCTGGGAACACACGCGCATCTTTCCTCACTGGTGCAGGAGCAGGCGCGGGTGCAGGGCCCGGAAGTCCCGGCACCACCCTGCTCCTGGGCCTCCATTCTGTCCTGTTCTCTCCAGCGACCACGATGACCGATGGGAGACAAAAGAGGCGGCGGCACCCCCCGCCCCCGAAGCCCCACAGCCTGTATCCCCCAAGGAGACGCCGGAGCCGGTGAGGAGGCCGTGGCTCTGGGCTGGGCGGTGCCGGGGTGCTGGGGGCTGCACCGCCTTCCCTGACCTGCTGCCTGCCCACAGCCTCCCGAGACCCCAGCTCCTGCCCACCGGCCCCCCGAGGACGAGGGGGAGGAGGACGAGGGGGAAGAGGATGAAGAATGGGAGGACATGAGTGAGGAGGAGGAGGAGGAGGAAGATGCTACTGAGGAGGAAGAAGAGGGGGAGGAGGCAGCAGCCCCAGCCCAAGACCACCAGCCCCCAGAGGCCACGCGCGCCGGGAGCCCCTCCAGTGAGCAGGCGGGCGTGGCGCCCCGTGGTGCTGAGGGGCCGCTTCCCCGGACCCCCACCCCGCCCTCCAGCCCCTTCTCGCCCCCTGGGGGCCACCAGCCCGTGTCCGACTGGGGTGACGAGATGGAGCTCAATTCGCCCCAGACGGCGCACCCGGCTGGCGCCCGCCCTCCCAATGAGGCCTGGCCATTCGGGGATGCATGAAGCCGGCTGCTGTGTGTGTGTGTGGGCCGGGGGCACGGCTGGCGAGGGCCCGCGGGGCCGGCCCGGGAACGCAGGCGCCCCACAGCCCTGGCGGCTAGGGAGGACGGCCACGGCCCTCTGCTGTCACCCAGTCTCTGGACTCTCTCCCAGGGCTGGACCCCATGCCCCCCACCCCCAATAAAGTTCACATGTGCAGATGCTAACCCCCACACGTGTCCCTGAGCCCCTCCACTCCCTCCGGGGCCGCGGGGGCTTGACTGGGCCTCCCCGTCCCCAGGCGGTGACCAGCCAGTCCCTGCCTCCCTGGAGAGAGGGCCCAGCCTCCCAGGAACCCCGAGCGCTGAAGAGGAGGGCCCTGAGCCGACCCCAGGTGGGGGAAGTGTGTGCGGAGGGCGGAGGCGGCCGCCTGCCGCTTGCAGTGGGGCCGCGGGCGGCCTGGAGTTGGTGCTGGGCCACAGTTGTACCTGGCCGTGAGGGCGGACGGCCGAGCCGGAGCGAGGGCAGGCGGCGGTGCAGCGCGGGCGAGGCTGGTGCCGCGGAGAGCCGGAGCCCAGGCACTGGGGGAGGCAGTGGTGGACTTGTGTCCTTGTGCGGGGTGCGTGTTGAAGTGCAACACGGAGCCAGAGGCCGGCCCTTGCCCGCCCGGGACGGGGCTGGATGAGGCGGTGGCGCCGCGCCCCGACCGCGGAGAGGATTCGAGCCCGGCCCCTAGGCGCTGGAGCACGCGGGGCGGGGAGGGCGCGGGGTGGCCCCCGCTGACCGGTCCTTCTCTCCCCAGAGCCGGGCCCCGAGGGCCAGGAGACGGCGGCGATCACCGACTTCCAGAGGGTGCGTTTCTGCAAGGTGGTGGCGGCCGCCCCGCCCCCGGGGGCCGCCCGCTGACCGCGCCCGCCGGACTTCGGGGCCCTGCACTAACCTCCCGCCGCCTCGCTCCTCTGTCCTCTGCTTCTGCCATGCTCCGGCCAGGAGAGGGTTAAATGTAAGGGGGGAGGAGCCAGGGTCAGCGTGTGGGGCGGGGCCAGGGCGGTGGTCGCGCTTCGGAGGACTCGGTCCAGGCCCACGGGGCGGGGGCGGGGGGCGTCGCGGCCCCGTTACGGCTGAGCCCCTCCGAGTCAGCCACCCCCGGGGGCCGTCCGGGGCCGGGGGCGAGTGCCGGGCCCAGTGCCTAGAAGCTTCCGCGTGGGCCCGGGCCGTGGCTGGCGGCGCCCTCCGAGGACCCTGCCCCGGGTCTGTTCCACGCCGTGCTTCGCTCACCCGCGAGCTGTGTTCCTGCGGGTGCGGGTGCGGGTGCGGGCTGGGCTCGGCGGCGGCGGCGGGAGGAAGGGGCCTGCTTTCTCCCCCCTGACCCGTCTTCCCTCCCCTCCCCCCGCAGGCCTCCCCGAACTCCTGAAGACGCTGCAGGGAGGGGACCGGAGCGTCCCCGCCTTGGTGGGAAGGGGGCGGCAGGAGGGGGTGTCTGCATCGCCGGAGCCCCCTGGGGGTCCCCCGGCTCTAGGGGAGAGAGAGGTTGAGGGTGGTGGCGGAGGAGCGTGGGCGTGGAGCTGGAACCTCAGGACCTGCAGCTGAGCCTCGCGGCCCCAGGAAGGGCGGCCGCAGGTGGCAGCAGGTGCCCCCGCGCCGGCGAGGTGGAGGCCTGGGGGCGTGGAGCCCGGCGGGCGGTATTGGGGGTGGGGCCAGCCCTGAGCGAGCCGGAGCGGGTGGGAGGGGCGATGGGCGGGGCTACCGCAGGGGGGCGTGACCAGGCTCGCAGGATCCTGTGAATGAAAAGGGAGAGAGGGAGGGACGGGCGTGAGTGCGGAGTGGACCCTGCGATCCGAGGTGGGGAGGAGGACCGAGGCCGGTCGGAAGCGAGCGGGACAGTAGAGCGGGAGGCGAGGGAGACTTGAGCCTGCGGAGGGGTCCGTGGGTAGAGGGACCCGGCGGAAGGCAAAGGGGGGGGAGGAAAGGCGGAGTCAGCTGGGCGGGGCCCCAGCCACAGGGGTGGGGTTAGGGTGCCGCAGCTTGGTGGGGGCTGGGGGCGTGCTCGGCGGAGGCGGCGGGGGAAGCCCGCCCTGCGGGGGCGTGACTGTCCCCGGCGGGGGCGGAGTCTCAAAAAATCGCTTTAGAACGCGACCCCGGGGAGGGGGCGGGGCCTTGCGGGCCGCGGCGCGGGGCTGAGTGGGTTGCGGCGATGCGGGGCACGAGCTGCGTGGGCGGCGGCGGCGAGAGCCCGGGCGGCTCCGGGCTGAGCGAGGGCCCGCGCGGCCGCTGGCTGCGTCTGGCGCCGGTCTGCGCCTACTTCCTTTGCGTCTCGTTGGCCGCCGTGCTGCTCGCCGTGTACTACGGTCTCATCTGGGTGCCCACGCGGGCCCACGCAGCCCCTGCCGGCCCGCCGCCCAGCGCTCCGGCCCCTCCGTGTGCCGCCCGCCCGGGCGCGCCGCCTGCACCGGCGCCCGCTGCTGCCTCCCTGTCCTGCCTCTCCGGAGCCCCGGGCGAGCCGCGACCCCAACTCGAGCTGCCGCGGAGCCGCCGCCGCCGGACGCCGGGGGCCGCAGGGGGCCGAGGCCCGGGGTAAACCTCCCGCAGCAGCCCGGGGCCCCTGGCCGCGGACGCGCCGTCTTCCCGCAGAATGGGGCGAGGGGCGCCGGGAGCCGACCCCTTCCTGGCCTCTGCCTCCCGCCCCTCCTCCCACGGGGTTCTGAGCGCAGAGCCCGCAGCCCGCGTCCCCCTCCCTGACGTCCGTGTCCAGCTGCAATAAACCGCAGCCCGCTGCCTCGCGCTGTGTGTGTCGTGTCGTGTCGTGTCGTCGGCGGTGGTCCGGTCTTTGCTGCCCCCTTGTCGGGCGTCTCCAGGGATGGGGGCCCGAGGTGCAGGGCCGGCCAAGGTCAGCCAGTGGGAAGGACCTGCCAGGCTTTGGGGTGCGGGGTGGGGGCTGGGATCGGCGCCTCTGTTCCCGCGGGGAGGCCGGCGGGGGGTGGGAGGGCTTCGGGCAGCACCCGGAGGTCTGGGCTTTGCCTTAGCAGTGGGGCCGTGGCGGGGCGCGGCGTTGCCTTCCTGGGCGGGGGGTGGGGGCTGGCGCCCCTCTGCCCTTATGGAAATCAGAGAACAAGTGAGCGACAGGCCTTGCTGCCCCGGGTTGGCGCGCGTCTCCTAAGCCGAGGCTGAGATACTGGGGTCCGACCCCTGGCGGAGGCGTGAAGGGGGGATGGGGTGGCTCCGGGCAGGTCTGGAACCCAGCGCACAGGAAGTGCTTTGCCCACTTGAACCGGTGGCTTTCCAAGAAGCAGCTGAGCCTCTTTTTCTCAGACGGGAAAATCTGTGGCCAGAGGGGTTGGGAGCGGCAGCCCCTGGGCTCGGCACCCCCTCCTCCCGGCGCTCCCCAGGGGCTGGGCAGGGGAGCGCGTGCAGGGAGCCAGCTCCCTCTGCAGTCGGCAGCGGCTGTGGTCAGAGGCACTGATTTGGGGGTCAGGCTGCAAATCTCAGCTCTTGCTCGCCATACCTGTGCAGGTCTGTAAAGCCAAGGACAGGCATGGTGCGGTAGGATTAGATAAGGTGCTACCCCACCACCACCCCAGCCCCCAGCCCTCAGCCCTCAGCCCTCAGGGCTTTTAGCCTGCAGTGAGGTCCCCGGGGAAGGCAAGTCAGCCTGAAGCCTGAGACCAGATGTGAGCGAGGGCCGGGCCCTCACATCTCTCCCCACTGGCTGCCCCCTCTCGACTTGGTAGCTCTCCGCCCAGCCCCATGTTTCTTCATCTTTTCTGTTTTTTAATTTTTTTTTCTGCGGTGGGGGGAGGCAGAGAAGGAGTGGGGGAAGGGAAGTGTCTCCCATCCACTGCATCCCCTAAATGAAGCTGGGGCTGGGCCAGGTTGAAGCCAGGAGCCCAGAACTCCATCCGGGTCTCCCATATTGGGGGCAGGGACCCAAGCACTTGAGCCATCGCCCACCGCCTCTCAGGGTGGACGCCAGCAGGAAGCTGGAGTCAGGAACCCGAGCTGGGACTTGAACCGGGCACCCGGCTGTGGGCTGCAGGTTTCCCAGTCTCCCAACCCTGCACCAGACCCGATCATTCTAATGCGCTCCCTCTACCTCCCGCTCTCTCCTCTTCCTGATGTCTGTCAGCCTCACCCATTCTGTCTCTCCTGTGACTCACTCCATGCCCTGTCCCTGAATGTTGCCCCCCACCCCGCTCACCCCAACACCTCCCCCCTCCAGTCCCCGGCTTCCCCTCCCCTCCCTCCTCTGTCTCCTCTCCTCTCCTCTCTCAGTCTCCATCTGTATCTCTTGATCTTTCACTTAACAAATCTCTGAGCATCTGCTCTGAGCCAGGGTTATTTTAGACACCAAGGAGGCGGCAGTGAGCCCAGCAGGCTGTTGGAACAGCCCCATCCAAAGGGAAACGGGTCGGCGTGTGCACAGCGGGGGAGCAGCAGGGCAGGGGGGGCGGGGGGGGGGCAGAAATGCAAAGGCCCGAGGCTGGAGGCGGGTGGCTGGTGCAGGAGTGGGGGGGGGGGGGAGGGGGGAGATCATGGGCGGATTGTTCAGGTCCCTGCTGTGCATTTTGGCTTTTCCTGGGAATGAGGTGGGAGCCTCGCAGGCCCCCTGACTGCCGCTAGGGGGCCGATGGTGCGAGCCTGGAGCTAGGGAGGGGGCTGCTGCCGTGGCTCAGGTGAGGGGCCATTAGCTCACTTGTAATAAGTTACAGTGTTTAACCCTTGATCTGAGTATATATATTAAATATTTGATTTGAGATGCAGAGAGACAGAGAGAGGGAGAGAGATCTTCCTCCCACTGGGTCACTCCCCGGGTACCTGCAACAGCCAGCGACAACCAGAGTTGGAAGTTCAGGAGCCCAGAACTCCAGCCAGGTCTCCCTGTGGGTGGCAGGGGCCCAGGCATTGAGCCATCCCATGAGCAGGAAGCTGGAGTCAGAAGTGGAGCCAGGAGCCAAACCAGGCTCTGGTACTGGCATCCTAAGTAGCGGCTCGCTGCTGCTCCGGACACCTGCCCCACTTTGAACTATTTTAAGGTATACAGTGGCACCAAATAAACTCACATGCTGTGCAGCCGTCACCATCTGCAGACTGTCGGCAGTGTCCCCAGCTGAAACCCTGTGCCTGTTATACTCCTCACCCCATCCCTCTGCCGCCGCACCCCCTGTCCTCTAAGGATTTGCCTGTTCCGCACGATCCGTATAAAAGGATCCATACGATACGTGGCCTCTCG